AGAGAGAGAGAGAGAGAAGCATGAAGGTCTCTATTGACCCCATGATCAACGCCCCAAACAACAACAGGCGCAACAACAGCTTCAGGGGTATCGCTGAGCAGTCGTCAATGGAGAGCATATTCAGGTCCCCCTCCGCCCTCTTTTGGCTCCTCCTCCACGGCCTCTGCTGCATCATCAGCCTCGTCCTCGGCTTCCGCTTCTCCCGCCTCATCTTCTTCCTCCTCTTCACCACTAGTTACAACAACTCTTCCTCTTCTTACTCTCAGTCCCCTCTCCTCCTCCACCAGTCCACATCAACCTCTCCACCCGTTCTCACCACAAATGCACCGACGACGCCACTGCCTCACGCCAATCACAGCGGCAGCAGCCGAGTAGTTGTGGGTCGGCACGGGATACGCATAAGGCCATGGCCGCATCCTGATCCGAAGCAGGTGATGCAGGCCCACCGCATCATGGAGAGGGTGCAGAGAGAGCAGATGCTTACCTATGGCGTCAAGAATCGGAGGCCTGTTATTGTGATTACGCCCACTTATCTGCGCACTTTTCAGACTGTGCACCTCACAGGGCTTATCCATACGCTCATGCTTGTGCCAGGGGAGGTTCTGTGGATTGTGGTTGAGGCAGGTGGGGCCTCAGATGAGACTGCTGATTTGCTTGTGAAATCGGGGCTCGAATTTGTGCATGTTGGTTTCGGGGAAAAAATGCCCCCTTCTTGGGAGGCCATCCACAAAATGGAGGCTCGGATGCGGCTCCAAGGCCTCAGGTTTGATAGTTTTCACCCTTTCTTCGACTTTGTGTTTTAAATCCTTGGCCTTGTTGATCATACCCTCGCTCTCCAAGTGGAACATGTGCTCATTTGAATTTGTTTTTTCTTTTTTTTTGGTTTTTCCTTTTGTGATGAATATGCTGTGATAATTGGGTACTTGATCTAGTGTCCATGATGATTGGGAATAATTTATTCTTTTTGCATTTATCCAAAAGTATTCTTAGCCCAGTCAGAAAGTCTCCCTCTGGGTTCACTCCTAATTCTCGTTTATGGTCTCTGATATTGCAATTCAGAATTAAGGTTCTTAGTCATCTTCTAGTGATTACCATGCTGATGCTCTTGTCCCTTGTTTTTTGATTTGCTCGTAATTCTGCCTTTTCGGCCTGTTGCAATTCAGAAAAGGGTTGTTGGGCATCTCTATGTGAATACTTATAACTGATTCCATGCTTTCCTCCTCCTCATTATATTATTGTTCTTGTCTTGTTGGGCAGGGTTGTGAGAGAGAGGAAATTGGACGGTATCGTGGTGTTTGCAGATGATAGCAACATGCATTGCTTGCAACTCTTTGATGAGATCCAGTCAGTGAAATGGATGGGTGCTCTCTCCATCGGACTTCTGGCACATGGGGGTTCCCGAACAAAGCAAGATGGCAATGGAGGAGAAGAGGATGCTAATTTTCCATTACCTGTTCAGGGTCCTGCCTGTAACTCCTCTGGCAAATTGGCTGGTTGGCACACCTACAATGTTTCTCCATATATGGAGCAAAGTTCTACCCTTGTTCATGATGGGGCCACTGTTTTACCCACCAAGCTTGAGTGGGCCGGTTTTGTGATGAACTCAAGGTTGGTGTGGAAGGACGTTGAAGATAGGCCTGGTTGGTTTCGAGATTTGGATGAGTTGAATGAAAATGGTGATGCTATAGAGACTCCACTCTCTTTGCTGAGGGACGAATCTTTTGTTGAACCCCTTGGCAAATGTGGTCGCGAGGTGATGCTTTGGTGGCTTCGTGTTGAGGCCAGGGCTGACAGCAAGTTCCCTTCAAGGTGTGTTGTGATTATGGCTTCTCATTGTTCTTGCTCTTTCACTCACAATGGAATGTTTTTGTTTGTGAATGGCTGCATTTCGATCTTAGTTTTTTGTTTCCTTGTTACTAGTTTGCTCTGATAGCATTATTAAAACATTTAGATATTATGCCCATATTGCTCTCTCATGTGGCATATCAAATTTAAGACTGATCTGATGGCAACGATTTTTAGGTGGTTTCTTCATTTCAGTGGTTATCTTATGGCCCTATGTAGTTGGAATTATGGGGAAAACTGGGTTCTTAGGTTGACCTACTGTAACCTTGTTTCCCTAGAAATCAGAAGTGCGCACATGTGCTCTATTCCACAAATTGTTTTCTAATTGAATTTTCCGGAAGCTCATAATGGTTGGTAGAAGTTGTACATCTTAATTTGCGAAGAGCCGAAGGCATTTAAATTTCCTGTGTCATACTGCAATTGTCAGATTGTTTTTCCTTTTTTGTTATTTTTGGTAAGTCTATACTTGTTGGCTTCTCTGGGAACATAGTGAACTTGCCAGTTTGTCCTTTATCTTGGGCCGTTAATGAATTCAACTTGGTCCATGAATGAGTTGAGCATGTTTATGAATCATTGGATTGCCCTTGGGTTTGCCAGCCTGCTGTTCCTGGTGATTTGTATTCTTGCGGTTCACTTAAATTTTAACTTATGTTCAAGTTGTCATTTTAAGTTTTTCAAAAGGATACCCTTCTCTTACCTAATGACGATGATTTCTGTGGACATTATGTATGGTAGTACAGGATGTTGGAATGTATTGAATTTACATCTTATTAATGCAGCATGTAGTTCGAAACAAAAATTGTTATGTGTTTCTTTCACTGTTAGTTGCTCCTTAATGAACCACTGAAATCTAGGAGTACATGAATTGAATATTAAAATGTTTTTGATTGCAAAATGAATGGCTCGCCAAGAATATTAAATCTATTACCTGTATATTTGAAAACTCATAGAAGACATGTAATGCAGAAAGAAATTCAAGAATTGAAATTTTGACTGAAAATAATGTTGGAAACTAAGCCAAACTTCTTAGCTATCTTTTGTTCAACCAAAAAACATAAAAAGTTAATATCAAACTTTGCCACAAAGTCTGTACCGAACCCCTATTTATAAGGAAACCCCAATCAGATTCCCAAAAACCTTATTTTTATTCTAGTTCCAATTAAATTGGCATCCTAGTTAAAATGTAAGATGATTTTTTTAATTAAAATACCCTTTACGAGTAAACTAATACCACCTTTGACGAAAAGAAAATAACAACCTAATTGATTTCCCCAACTGCCCCTAATATCCAAAACCTAACCAATAAAATTTAAACCCAATAAAACCCAAAATAACTGAATTAATTAAACATAAAAAATATGAATCAGCCTATCCTGCATTAGACTCTTCTGGTTGGAAAAATCTCGAAGTGGGCTAGGATAAATTCTCTTATCATATCCACTACCGTCTTCAACATTCTTCTTTGCTTTCTCTAAAGATATGAATTGTACTGAGACAACTCATGGAACAGATCTTGATATGTAGACAGAGGAGTAGATAAAAATATATCAAATTCACCTGTACTTGAACTTACACTTAAAATTGCATTAAAAACTTTGAACTCAAAATTTTAGAGGTTTATTCTTTTTGTACCCTTCAGAGTTTTTTGTATAGGACATCCATCTCTTGGGTTGCCTATTTTTGGAACTCTCCCTTAACTGTACCGTCTTCTCAATATCAATACAATTGTCAACTTATTAAAAAAAATATTTTAGAGGCTTTTCCCGACCAAAAAATGAGTAGGCAATACCAGTCGAGCTGGTTTGGGTGTCATGGGGCTTTAGAATAGCTTTCCAAAGAGTACCATTAATTGCCATTCTGAGTTATAACGAAAAGTTATGGCTGTTGGATGGTACAGCTATTGAAATCATCTCATCTGAGGCCTGAATTGTAATATGGAGGGAAATATCCTCAATTATTTGCTAGGCACTCTCCAGGACAAACTCACTAAAAGAGAGTCTTAAGAGAGTTTGAGATTCCGTGGCGCCCTATCATCATCTATCTCTTTCTCCAGCGCATGAAGTTCTAATTCGAGTTGAATTCTTATCCTTTCCAAATTGACTCTCTCTTTGGTCTTGGGCCAATTGAATCATCATGTTTTTTTTAAAAGAATTGAACCATCATGTTCAGCTTCGTCCTGAAAATCAATGGTCTTATCCATTGAACTCCTTCCTAACAATCGATACAAATTTAGGAATCCTAACTAAGTTCCAGTATATGTCATCCTTGTCTCCAACCAGAATGCAAACTTGCAGCATGTCTCTGGCGCTTTGGGAATGAGACTGCTCTGAGAATTTTTTAAAAGTTCTTGGAAAGAAACCAAATAACTAAAAAATTTGATTGAAAATAATGAAGACTTACAAGCCCAACTTCTCGGCTATCTCTGGTTAAACCATGAAACATGAACAAACAATATCGAATGCTGCACTGAAGTATCTACCGAGCCCCTATATATAATGAAACCCTAACTTAGACTTTAGGAAACCCATTTCTAATCTAATTTGTATTAAACTGGACTCCTAATTAAGACATAAGACAAAATTACTAAAGTACACTTTACAGGTAAACTAATATTGCCATTAACCAAAATTGACTAATGACTTAACTAATTTCCTAAACTCTGCAATCCTAAGAAATTCAAAGAAAACCAAAAAATCCCAAATTACATCTGCAAAATTAACTGGAAAATAATATAGTATATGAATCACCCTGTCCAACATCAACACGATAAACTTATTTATAACAAGGCAATTCAATTATACTAAAAAGTTGATTACGGACTCATGCATTGCCATAACAACTTAAATGCCACGAGCTACAACTCAGTTCAACGTGTTGATACCAACCAGTTACCAGTACATTTAAAAAGCGGACCGGCCAGCTCTTGGGTGGACGCTTAGGTGGGTCCAGAAGGCCTGGCCGCATTGCCCAAGCCTAGGCGGCCAAATTTGGCGGATATCCCTAGGCAGCCGCCTAGGCACTCGGGAACACACCTAGGCGCCGGGGAAATCGCCTAGGCGGCTGCCTGGGAAACCGCCTAGGCGGCTGCTCGGGATCCCATCTTGTTGGCCGCCTAGGCCTACGCCCGGCCCAGGGCAGAAATGCCATTTGTTGAGGGCATTTTTTTGGTCATTTTTTAATATTAAAGGAGAAAAATTGTGGGTTTTAGGGTCATTTGAAATCGAAAACCCATTAGAGCCTATTTTAGAGAGAGAAAAACCCAAAAAACTAGTTTTTGGTGATTTACAAAGGGTTTCTCAAAGTTAAGAGAAATTGATCTAAGCATTCACCCATTGATATTAGATTTAGTTTTGGATGTTTTATAAATTTATTAGAAAGTTTTTTAGAAGTTTTTGAGTCCTTAAAAACATCGTAGAGGTGGAAGTTTGGAGATTGAACAATCAAAGTTAGTTATTTTTTTTTAATATGAATTTATTGTTATGGAGTATGGAGGAGTGTGTGCTATGAACTTGTGTACTATACATTTGATGTGCCTTAAGTGCCTAATTCTTATATGTTATATGGTTATACTGTTAGAGACATTTTTCTTTCTACTGGGCTGCCCAGGTTCTCGAGCCTAGGGCACTGGGTGGCCTAGACCAAACACTGATACCATCTGGCAACATTGAGTGGGAAGTTATTGATCTATATGTGAAGTCATGAATATTATTAGATGTCATTTGACTATAATCACTTATAAATGAATTTTGTCTCATATGTACATTCAAAGCTGTTACAATTTTCTCCTAGTGTTTTTGTGTATGTTGTTCACCATGATGGTATCTTTGACACAAAGGTTTCGAATGAACGAAGCAATCAATATTGTGAACTTCTTACTTTATGAATTGTAGAGATGAAAAAACCTTCCTTTATAGATTTCATGATCTTTGAAACATTTTGTGTGGTTTCGAATGAGTCAGCAATTCATCGGCGAGGCATATATTGTGAAGAAAAAAGCTACAAGTCATAGTTGCTTTTGGTGAATATGATGAATTTCAAGAACTATACATGATATTGTAGTAATGGTGATAAAAAGGTGATTATAGTTGGTGTTTTCAAGACTCAGCCGAGTCCAGTCCAACTAGGCTGGGTGACTCGGCCTCCACATATGGTTGAGGTGAGTTTCAATGAACAACTTGCCTAGATTTAAAATTAGCTAAGGAAAGCCTTTTTTTTGTTAAAAATCAGTATAATATGGTTTAGAAATATATTGTTATATGATTTTTGTGGTTTCTATGATGATTTGGATGCTTTTCATGTTACATTTTTTATTTTCTTATTTTTCTGAAATATTTCAAGGTACAAATCAAAATTTTCAAAAATCCAACTTGTATACATTTTTCATCTTTTATAGAACTTTAATGACTTCTACTACTTATTTGAGATATTTGATATTTTTAATAGTTTTTAATAATTCCTTTTACCTTTTTTTTTTTTTTTTTTTTTTTTTGAGTTTATGGGAATATTTTGTTCCTTTACAAGACCCGGCCGAGTCCACTTGGACTCGATCATGTTATTCGGCTCGGGCCAGGGCTGAGTCGGAGGTCCGACCACTGCTGACTTTAAAAACATTGATTATAGTCTTGACGTCTTTGCAGTCGGTTCCTTATGCACAAGGTTTTTATTGAGGGCTGAGGCACATGCTACCTGTAGTTCCTTGTTTATAGGCGACGCATGCTAGTCATTCGAGCATGTTTTCTGTCTATACTGAGAAATATGTTTGAAAGTCACCAGTCTGTTATGAGAAATTGCAGATTTTGTGCATGAGAATGGTATCCTTCATTTGGAGGAAGGATATAACTGTAATGTATCCTCTTGGATTGTACATAATTGTGTTAGTGTTATATGACATTTATACCTTAAATAGATGAGTGTATAGAAAATGGTAACCGTACTTGTCATGGTCACCCAAACAATTCAGAAAA